ACATGATGATCAGCATGATGAACATGATGATCAGCTCAGATGTGCTAAACAGCACATCTGAGCTGATCTCACACTCTGCTCTATGAGATGCTGGATTTATTCCCTGACATCATGGAGCAGGGGTCTGCAACCAAAGAGCCATTTTACCCTGAGCCCGGCTAAATTAAAGTTGCTTAGAGCCGCAAATATTAAATAAAAATAACCTATTATTGTTGTTGAATATCTGCTATAGGATCTGTTGTTATGTTATTAAACAAAACAATTCATTTGTAATTTTTAGTTTGGAACCCTTTAACATCAAGTTTATAATGTTTGAGCTTGGATTGTTTTTCTTAAAAAAAAATTCTTAAATAATTAATACAATCAGACATGCAGTGAACAAACAATCCATTATAAATTGTACAGGAATGTCTAATGTATCATAAATGACACAAATAACTTCACTGCAACCATTAGTTGGTTCCTTTATCATTTTCAGCCATGATTAAGAGCCATTGTAGAGGCTCCAAAGAAGCACAGATCGCAGACCCCTGTCATAGAGGATGAAGTTAGACTATGAGAGATATAGGCTTCCTAATGGTTGGATAATAGCATCCTGATATCCCTCTGAATGGAGGCTACTAAAAGCTGCTTGGAAATGGCAGCAAGATTCAGGTGGATGTAAACCACATGTTTATGGCAGTATGCTGATGAAAAAAAAATGTCCTCCTTAAAAATATGGCATATTTAAATGGCAAATGAAATTTCAAGCTAGAATAGATTCAGTGAAAAACTTTGTGATGAAGAATTTGCTGATCGGGCATGCATTTGCTTACCTTTGTGATTATTATATATAATTGGTGCATTTAAATCAAAAACTCATGGGACCCTAAACTGCTGTAACAGTTGATAATTTCGGGTTTCTTCTGCTAAGTGTTAACAAATTTAAAGTGAATTGTTTCTTTAACATGTTATAATTTGTTGTTGTTTTTTGGGGGTTTTTTCCCCCCCTTTCTTTCCGGGCTGATCAGTGGCATAGTAGGTAGCGCTGCTAAGGATCTGGGATCAATTCCCGTCCCTGATTCTTTCTGCATGGAGTTTGCATGTTCTCCCTGAGCATGCGCGGGTTCACTCTGGGTACTCCAGCTTCCTCCCACAGTCCAAAAACATGACTGTTATGTTAATTGGCTTCTCTAATTTCTCCTTAGGTGTGAGTGTGTGTGTGAATGGTTGTTTGTCCTGTGTGTGTCTCTGTGTTGCCCTGCGATTGACTGGAGACCTGCCCAGAGTGTACCCTGCCTCTCGCCCGCAGTTGGAGATAGGTACCAGCACTATTTGCAACCCCAGCAGGGATAAGTGTGAGATAAAATGGATGGACCTTGATTTTTTCTTTGTTAATAAAGTAATAATGATTTGTATTTTGTCTCTAAATAATGTACCTTATATACTGTGCTTTGAGTCTGTATGACTGATCCTTTTAGTTGACTTTGAGATGACGATTGCTGCATAATACAACAAAAATGTTACATTTTAGATTAGATTCATGTAAATGAATTGGAACTGCTTTTTTATTCTATATTATTTAGTTTCCCATTGGAATCAATTAAATATTTTTTATTTAACTGTATTTTATTTTTTGTCTACATTTGTGATGTTTTTCTGTTTCTGCTTAGAATTTTGGCCCTGAATGAAAACTTCCTACTCAAGTTTAAGACAGATGTGAGTTCAAATTTTAATTTTTACAAAGTTTTACCAGCCACGATTACCTGTGGGTGTTTGGATTTAATGATCATATTTCAAATCCTAGTAAACTTTAAAGTTAATTTTTGTGTTTTTCATGTCTCAGGCTTGCAGTCTTGATGACAGAAAAAGGGACTTTGAGAAGATATTCGCTCACTATGATGTTGTAAGTTCAGATTTTCAGAGGTTCTTGCTTTCTCTTCACTTCTGCTCTTTTATAAGAACTAACTGAACCTGTTTTTTATGCCTATCATATGTAAGATGAGAGAGTTTTTTCTGCAAAGAAGTAAAAATATTGTCTTAGAACATAATAGTTATGTGATGCAGCAGCAACACACTTTATTCAATTAAACAGCCCTTGTTCTTGCTATAACTCTTTGTTCCCTATATAAGCTGCTGGAACCAGAATTTCCCTGAAAGAGTAATCCCAAGGGATAAATAAAGTTTAGTCTAAGTATAAGTCTTGATGCATCAATATGTTCTGTGTGCAGAGTAAGACAGGTGCACTGGAGGGGCCTGAGGTGGATGGGTTTGTCAAGGACATGATGGAGCTGGTAAAGGTAAAAATATTCACACATTTCCAGATTATTAAACTATTTTCTACAGAAACTCATTTTTGTGAATATTGTTTGGAATTGTCTTCACAATGTTTGCATTGTTGACTTACAGCAAGAAGATCTTAGGGTTAAAATCCACAGAAGGAGTTTTACTGTATAGTTTGTATGTTCTCCATGTGCATGTGTGGGTTTCCTCCAGGTACTCCAGCTTCCTCCTGCTGTCTAAAAACATGCATCTTAGGTTGAATGGCTGCCCAGTGAGACTCACTGTGTCAAGTGTGTCTCTGATGGACTGATGACCTTATCTGAAGCAATTAAGCAGATACGGAAAATTAATGGATCAGTACAGTAGTACTGTTAGTTCTAATAGTTTGTTCTCTGATTTTAACATCACAATTATTTAGTTTCACCTGTTTTGAAAAAAGTTAATAGTTCTTATATGCATACTGATGAAAACAATTGTGTATAAAATGAATGTCAGAATGCAAAAACAGAGGAAAAAAACTCATTTATTTGAGGTAAAATATTTCACTTAATTTATCTCTTCCAACTTTATGCAAACTGAGTACAGATGGATGGATGGATGGATGGATGGATGGATGGATGGATGGATGGATGGATGGATGGATGGATGGATGGATGGATGGACTGTGACCTCTGACCTTCATTCTAACACTAGCTCTGTCCATGGTTCCTGCAGCCCAGCATCAGCGGAATGGAACTGGACAAGTTCAGGAAAGCTTTGATGGGTCACTGCGACATCAACAGAGACGGAAAAATCCAGAAGAATGAACTTGCTCTCTGCCTCGGCCTTAAACTCAGTTAACCTTCTCTGGCAAACAAAAGTATTTTTTTTTATCATTAATGCCTCTGCGATATATTTCTATTCACCTTCAGGCTTCCCATTACTTTCCGTTTATTCATCTGACCTTTTTAAACATTTTCCTTGTGATTGTATAATAACATCTAATTTCTGTGTAAAACAAAAACTGAACCTTAGCCACACAGCAATCTCTTTGACTCATGTGATACTTGTATGGCTCCTTCTTTGCGCTGTGGTAATGTACACTGTGAATTGCTGTGTTCATGATAGAATTGTTAAATCAGTTAAAACAGTGATGTATGATAACTGTAAATAAAACTTTGTCATCCATGCATTATTTTCTGACTAAGATTTCCTCCAAGAATAAATTTTACAGCTGACAACAGTAACAGCTTTTTTTTAAATCATTATTATTCAATCACCAGGACCTGCAGAGCATTCTTACAGTTTGTTAGAATAATACAATCAATCAATAAATTTATACTGCACCACTTACAGTTAAGCTTAAAAGTATTCATACCCTTGGTAGATTTTGGTTTAATGTTATCTTTTAAATTTACACTTTTAAAGTTACATGTTTCTTCAAACTGAATAGTAATATAATATTTTTTTGGTGATCTAGATAGAGACCCTATTTGATCCTAATATTACGGTAATGATAAAGGGTGTTTCCAGTCTGATGACTTGGAGCTTATCAATAAAGATAAATCATCAAAATAATATTGGATACATAGAAAAGCTGCTCTGCAATGGTAAGAAGGGTTGGGTTTCTGTAACGCCAAAATATTTGTTTTTATAATTGAAATAGGTATTTAAAAAGCTAATTTTAATGTTTGAAATAAAGACATCTTTAAAACTCAAAATCCTTCTTTTGTTTTGATTTTTATTCTTTTAGGAGTTACATGTCCCACTTCACAGGCCTTCTGATTGAAATAAAACCTTTACATCCAAAACGGCCAGGGTTATAAACTATTTGGAGCTTATTGTAACTAAGTTGTACAAATAAGAGAACTTTTTTGTTCAAAAAAAGCATTTTAGAAAGATGTATTCAATGGAAAAGAAAGAAATTACTTTATTATAGAGGATGAAATGCAGAAACAGCACTGACCAACTTCTGCACTCTGTTCCTCATTTGAATTTTCAGACTATATATGTAAAATATTTTACATCAACTGATTTAAGTAGAGCTGTCTTTATGTAATAAACTACACTTGTTTGCCAATATAATAAAAACACAATTTCAGTTCATTAAGCGGAAATGAGAAAAATCATCACAAAGTAAATAACTTTTATCTTTGAATGTGGTCTGAATTAAGAGTAAACCATAAATTCTAATGAAATCCATTTCTATAAACAAGCTGAGATGACATACACTCCAATTAAACAATAATTCTAGCACAATATAAGAGTGCAGTTCATCCTGTAATGTAACTTGGTAAGGACATCTTGTTGTTTATTTATTCACCCTTTAGCCTCCTCTGGATCAGACTGTGCAATGCTTTAGGCTGTGCAGATTCTCTAATAAGTTAAATATCCTCATCTTTCATCAGCAACTAATCTAGAATTTATCAATAATCTCATAAACAAACTACAGTTGAAAATACAAGTTTGTTGATGGACTTAGAATGTTTTTTTCTTCGAATGTCTTCTATGTGTTCATTTGGATCTAATGAAAAAAAGAATTTTCATTGTGAGTAATATGAACATTTTCAAAAAGGAAGAAATTTAAGTCCAATTCAAGAAATTTGCCCTTTAAGAAAGACTGCAGCAGCCAACTGAGTGGCTCACAGCTGTGAGGAATGAAGTCCGTCAGTTACCTAAAAAGATACCAAGCTGCTTCCAATGATTAATCTGTGAAGCATGTGACTGGTTAGCTGTGATGCAAAGCACTTTAAAAGGACCATTAAGACTGCAGCATGTATGAAGCTGAGACCTGGATTTCATTTTCTTTTGGTTCCAGTTTGTGAGTAACAAACACTTTACAGGTGTTTTGGTTTCAGTTTTCACAAAGAAATGGCTTCTGGATTCTTTATGAGGTATGGCTACCCTTACAACATTCTGCTAAATGTGTTTTTTTTTTTTGTTAGTCAAAGTCTCATGGTTTCATTCTTGTCTTTGCCAGCATGCTAATGCTCTCTCTGACCTCTGGGCCTTTTGCATCAGGTATGAAATTATGAAATGCACAAATTTTTGCTTGATCATTACAACCTTTGAATGAATATATATATATATATATATAATTTTTTTTTTTTTTTGTAGGAAATGTCTTCAGACATGGAGGTAAAAATGTTGAACCTCATTCAGCTGAAGCTCTGCCGCATGCCTACTATGCTGGCATCCCCAATATCCGTGAGAGTTTGCCAGCTGGCGCTTCCAAACCAATGGGTCTTTTTGGTAGCAAAATTCAAAGTGGTAACAGCAGGCAAGTAAATAGTAACAGTCAACCAGGAAGTGTTTCTAGTTACAGTTCTGCCTCAGTTCAGGATCCACGCCAGAAGCTGCAGGCTAGTCTCTATCAGAACAGGCCGGGAATGAGGGAACCTTCATCATCCCAAGGGGAGAAGAGATATGGCTCAAGCATCGTCTCAAGTGGTGCGATTATGATCCATGCTCCAGAAAACCCAGTTGAGCTCCATGCTTCTAATGTAGAGTCTCTAGCATCTGATTCCGGGTTACTGCCTCAGCACCCTGCATTCTCAGTTCCTGCTGTACTGCAAACCAAAGAAGGCATGTGGGATGCTATCAAGTCACAAAGGGCAGAGTCGCCAGCATCTGGTTCCAGGATGCTTCCTCAGCACCCTGCATTCTCAGTTCCTGCTGTACTACAAACCAAAGAGGGCATGTGGGATGCTATCAAGTCACAAAGGGCAGAGTCACCAGCATCTGGTTCCAGGATGCTTCCTCAGCACCCTGCATTCTCAGTTCCTGCTGTACTGCAAACCAAAGAGGGCATGTGGGATGCTATCAAGTCACAAAGGGCAGAGTCGCCAGCATCTGGTTCCAGGATGCTTCCTCAGCACCCTGCATTCTCAGTTCCTGCTGTACTGCAAACCAAAGAGGGCATGTGGGATGCTATCAAGTCACAAAAGGCAGAGCCTCCAGCATCTGGTTCCAGCATGCTTCCTCAGCACCCTTCATTCTCAGTTCCTGCTGTACTGCAAACCAAAGAGGGCATGTGGGATGCTATCAAGTCGCAAAGGGCAGAGTCTCCAGAACAAGCTGCTCGAAAACCTAATCTGCCTTTTTCTGCACCTGCTTCGCAATCCAGAGCTGCTGTGTGGCGCAGCATTTACCCTCCAGGTTCAAAAGCTCCATCTTCCACTGCAGAGCGACACACATGGCCTTCAATCCCTGTCCCCCAGCAACCCAGACCAGGCCAGTGGGTAATCTATTCTTCTGTCGCACAGAATCCCCAGTCCACTGCCCAGCGACACAAAAACCCCTTAGTTTTTTCAGCACCTGTTGTACAACAAAACATGAAGATGTGGAGTAATGTGGTCTCCCCTGAGTCCAGCAAGCAAGTTTCAGATAACAGAGGATCTGGCTACTTCTCTAAAAGGCTTCCATCTGGCCAGCAGCAAGCACAGTGGCTGACCCGCCAACCAGCCCAGTTGGGCTCTCCAGCCTCCACTGGGCTCCAGAGAGTTGGCTCAAACCTGCCATTTGGCCACAGCCCATCAAGCTCAAGACCCGCTGGTATGGAGTCACTCTACCGACATGACCGTCAGCAGCAGCAACTCTCTCACAGAAATTAATGGTCTTTGGCATCTAATTGTAAGTAGTTAACCTATTACAATGGCTAATGTATGAATGGTATTGCTAACGTATTGAATGGTTTCTCTTCTCAGGGTCCAAAACTTCTGGATGGAATTTGTGCTTTAATCTAACTTTAATAAACTGTTTGAAACTGCAATGCTTGTCTGGATATTTTTGAGTCTGTCCAAGACTTTGGATTTAAAACTGCTCTTTTTCAATGATTCAGACCTGAGTGTGGGCAGTCTCCAGCCACTGAATATGTTGGACATGCTATTGTAATCTTTTAAGGTCCGATTTGAAGAAGGGATCAATCTGAAAGATGGTGGTTGATCAGTTCTGTATGGTAAAGCACTTGACAGATCGGCACATTGAGTCTTGCTTTGGTGTCTAAAATTTGCTGCTCATTATCCCCCTCGCTGTCATCCTGATAGCAGTTATTAGTTCGTTCATTCCCCTCTCCAGGGTAGATGACGAAGAACCCAGCTTTCTGGGCACTCGCCCATGTTTTCCTCCCAGTCATTAGGCAGCAGGCCTGTGGTTAAAATGACTCCAATGATGCCAGCTGATCTCTCAACTGTTTGGAACCTTTAGGTTAAGGGGGTTATGGTATCTTATGAAATATACAGTACAGAACCGAAATGGGTTGTCTTTAGATCAACTGGAAATTGACTGCCAAAACTCTAATCTGCATAATTGCATCTAGAATGGGGGGTAAAGAGGAGCTTTCTACATTCAGATGTAATGGCACACCTGTATATTCTGTTTAGGTGCATTCTGTATGGTCAGCTTAACATTTAATTTGCAAACTTGTCGTCTTTAGAAATAACATCTAATCCATTTGGCAGTTTTGGATAATGGTCATATTTCGTTCAATAGTTCAGTTCTTCAGCTTGCATTTTTAAAGTTGTCTTGAGATTCTGAGTCTGCTACAAAGTATTGGTCACAAATGCAAATCATGCCATGTGTATTTGAAAATGTACTTTAATCCCTGGGTGTGGCTACCAAATCTTCGGTTAAAACCTGTCAAAGTCTCCTTAAGTACTTTAAACAAGGCAAAGTGGCTAAAATCTAATCTTAACCCTTTTATAGGGCATGTTAATTTTTTTGATCACTTGCATAACCCCTCACAAATGGAGTCCCCACCCCTTAGTGAGGTCTTAAAGCACAAGAACTTTAGCCATTCAGCAAAGGTACTGGTACATGACTGTACATCTTATTTTGGCATTGCCTATTAATTACGTTGGGGGTGGAATTAAGACGAAGCAAAATAAATGAAGTTAAGCCTAGCTAACAAATATATTTGGCTTTATAAACAAAATGTAAATGCCCATATCAGCATTAAAGCCTCTAAGATTTTGTACCAAAAATGTTTTTCACACACTCGCACTTTTTCAGGAATTTCTCAGAACGTACTCGTACTCGTACTCGTCGTCTCCCGCTTTATCCGGAACCGGGTCGCGGGGGCAGCAGGCTAAGCAGAGACTCCCAGACTTCCCTCTCCGCAGACACCTCCTCCAGCTCTGTTGGGGGAAGCCCTAGGCGCTCCCAGGCCAGCCGAGAGACATAGTCTCTCCAGCGTGTCCTGGGTCGTCCCCTGGGCCTCCTCCCGGTGGGACACGCCTCTCAGAACGTTTTTTTCTTATATTCGGGCAAGTTGGCGTTTGTTACATTGACCTGTTATGTTCAATTTTTGCCATCAAAATATCAATATTTTTGGAATGTTACAAAGGTAATAAGGTCTTGTCCTATGACACCCTTGGCTTGAAATGAGTTTATTTTCAAATGTACTGTATTTTACTCTTATGGGAAAGTTTCATTAAATGTCCTCCAGATGGCGCTGTAGACAGGATAATCAATCTGAAAATCGCTCAGCAATCCCTGGGAATGAAGAGTCGCCTATTAGAACAACTAAATCCAGAATTTAGAACATTTAGGTTTCCCATGTTTTGGAGATTTACATGGAAAATCTGTTAACTTTTAAGATAAGACCCCTTCCGACAGGTAGATGTAGGAAAATGAGGAATATATGCAACTATATTCATAAAGCTCAGCCTAAGACATGAATGCTATAGTAATATTTCCTGTCCATTGCAATTATTTACTTTTATAAAGATATCTAGATTTGTTTTAAAATTAATACAAATATTTTAATTTTACTATTTTTCTATTTATGATGCTTGTTGATAACGCCTATTGGTAATTAGTTCAGCATGGTGACACAGAAACCTCCCTGTCCATTATTAAAAATAAAAATTAAATAATCCTATGAAGGCGGGGTCCTGCTCCAGCGCGTCCATGAACTAGAGAAGCGCGCTCCCGTGCGCCGTCCCGTCTCCCGGTGCCTGAGGTGTGTGGAAAGTTGCTCCTCTCCCGACGGTGTCGCGCTCCTCTCAGCTGTCACTTTACTTCCCACCTCCGTCATGCCTGCCCTCCTCCTCCTGCCGCAGACATGGGAGTTACCGGCTGCGTGTGGAAACTAACCGGCTCTGCTGCACCTTCTGTCCGCGTTCAGGGCTCCATCAGCAGCCGGGGACACCCCGCAGCGCGGAGCTGAGCCTTTCCTTTCACCTCCACCCTTTTCCAGTCATTTGTTCGTTTGGTTTCGCGTCATTTATGGACTCCGGGAGCTGCATGTAAAGAGTGTTTGCAATTTCCGTTCACACAGCTGAAGATGGAGACGGTGATGGAGAGGGAGTGCAGTGCGCTGGGGGGGCTCTTCCAGACTGTCATTGGAGACATGAAGGTAACAAATGAAATTGTTTCTTTTTCTGACTTTTGCTGACAGCCTTTATTAGTCTGCTATCATTTCAAAGTGATTCTCCAGGCCCTGTTGCACAAAAGCAGGGAATGGTGGAGTAATGGTGCTTGTCTCTGCAACATTATTAATTTACTAATTATCCTGGGGGGGGGGGAGGTGGATGCATCTGCAGAATGTAAACCCAGGTTTTCCAAGGTGACAAAACACTGGGAAGGCAAGCTTTGGACGAATAACCCTCTGTTGATATGGTGCAGCAGGTAATGGAAACACTATTAGGTGCTAAATGTCTCCTCTCAGCTTCAATGTGAATAATAATTTTTAAAAGATGCTGAAACAGTCTTTATTGGGATTGGAAAAAGAGAATGTGAATAATTTACATGAACAAAAAGAGGTAACATTTCTCTTCTTTGCAAAAAGAAACCACTGTAATGAGTGGGAATTAATCAGGAAGTCTGCTAATTGAAAAATAATGAGCTGCTATTTTTAAAACTGTTCTACCTTTAAGGGAAAATGGTCAGCTTTTCATACAGATCACTGCTAAAAATGGAAGACATCTTCAAGGAAATACATTAATTTAGAAATGTGATAGCCATTAATTAGTTAATCTGCCTTGATTGATGATAAAATAGAGTAATATCACACAAAGAACGCATGCAACTAATGATTTTAACTGATCATTTGACTTGATGTTCTTTTTCTGACTTTGAGGACAAATTCTCTGATGAATATTCTTTATGAATATAATGATGAGTTTTTAAATCGGCCAGTAAATTAATAACGGAATATCAGCCTGCATCTAAAATCTCCAATATAAGCAGG